TGGAAAGTCACAAAGTCTCTGAACCAATTTCCTTATCTGTAAAATCATCGGGGTTGGACTCAGTGATCTTGGAGGTCCTTTTAGCTTTGAGACCCTCTCAGGCACAAGAAAAAAAAGGCAGCAGGAGGGTTTGAGACTCAGGAAGGCATCAGGCTACTGCTTTTGCACCAGAGAACAACTTTTTAAGGGGCACAGCCTATCAGCCTGGGAATCACACTGCTTCCAATTAGCTGATGTATTACACATTTTATCGAGCTACAGATATTCCAACTGTCATACAGGGGCCACTGAATTACTTTCTCCACAATGAACTAAACTTTACCTACATTGCACAGCTTCTCCAATCTTAGAATTGCAAATAGTGTAAATAAATTAAGGCAATAAAAAAACCAAAAAGATAGAATACAGAAGCAGGAGTGCTAAAAGGAAAGGAAGAGAGATAGGAAAGGCCAGCACTGGTTTCTTTTAAAAAAATGCAATACTGTTCATTTGTATAGCATTTAACAGTTTCCAAAAGCTTTCACATTTATCGTATTTGATTATGAGTAAGTGTGCAAGACAAAGATTATTAATTATCTCCTTTTAGAGATGTTGGAGAAATAACATGCCCAAAGTCAGACAATGATCTACTCACTCCTAGTCATCTGTTACTGTTGTTTGTTTTCAGTCATGGTCTGACTCTTTGTGACTCCATTTAGGGTTTTATTGGCAAAGATACTGGAGTGGTTTGCTATTTCCTTCTCCAGCACATTTTACATATGAGGAAACTGAGGCAAATAGGATTAAGGGACTCGACCCGGGTCACACAGTTAATATCTGAGGTGTCTAGTCTACTTTTACTATGTTACATTGCCTCAAATTTAGTACTTTTTAAAAAAACAGTAAATTCAATTAACATCTGCTAAGCACCCACTTTGTATACAGCCTACATTAGGCACTGGAAGAGATACAAATGGTCTTGGTAGTTTTCTGTTTAGTAGGGGAATAACACATAGTATATAATGCACAATAAGTTAGATGCTAAATAAAACTTATTTATTATCACTTATGTGGGACAGGAGACTGGGTGTGGTCGTGGAAAGCAACAAACAATTCTGGGACCTGGGGCAGGCTGCACAAAATATGCCTTGGGCAAGAGGTGGGGGGGTCACAGTAGCTCCCCAAAGGGGTAAGAGGTGGCTGCTAGAGAAGTTATTATGGGGGAGGTGAAGGAAAGACATCTACTGGGATGCAGTCACCCTGGGGGAAGAAGCACCAACTGGCAGATTACTATTTTATTTTTCTTGCTAACTAGGTGCTAGTTGTTTTAACTCTCTGGAAAGACAGCTATTTGTTTAAATATTGTCAATTGCAGCACCTAAGGGAAAAGCTCTGATCACACAGCCTTAGTTACAGCTCTGGCTTCAGGGGTAAAACCTGTCAGTTTTTAAAGGAAGGGTAGGAATTCAATGTGAGAGGTACACATTCCAACCACTGACGATGGAGGAGACAAAGAAACAGGTGGGCTGGTGCTTCAAGGAATAGTCTAGTTTATGTAGAGCTGTTGCTTGCCCTTGGTTCTTGAAAGGGATCAATGACATCAGGAGGGCGATGTCTTCACTTGCAAATGAATTGGATTTAAGTGAGGCAGGGCTGTGCAAAGTCATCAGCCTCACTCTCTCCTCCAGTAATTGAAGTCCAATGACAAGACACAGATCAGGATGAGCGGCAATGGTCCCTGACGCAGTGGAAGACCTTGGCCTTTTTAAGCTAAGGTCTTTCTCAGGTCTCAATTTGCTTGAGGCAACACCCATTCTGCAGTTAAAGCCTAGGTAGAATGGGTTGAAAAGAGTACCATGAGTTGAAGCTTAGAAAAGTAGGGTGGTGACAAATTTTAGAGGACCTTGAATGGGAGCAGAAGATTTTGAACTTTATTTTGTAGAAAGAAGCCATTGGCATTTTTTGAACAGATGAGTGACACAATAAATCTATTCATAATGAACGTGGTTGTATGAAGGGTGAATTGGAGGGGAGTCAAAATAGGAACACCTATTCAGGAGTTCCTGAAATAAGTCTATGTAGGTGGTAATAAGGGTTTACGTTAGGGTGTTTAGTGGCAATAGAGTAGAGGGAGGTAGATGTTAGGTGGTGTAGTTGATGAAACTTTAGAACTGGAGTCAGGAAGAACCCAGTTCAGAACTAGTCTGACACATAATAGCCCTGTGACCCAAGGCAAATCATTTAACTTTTGTCAGTCTGTTTCCCCATCAGTAAAATGGGGATAACAATAGCACTTAATCTACAGGGTAGTTGAGGATAAGAGATAATATATGCAAAGCACTTGGCAAAGCTCTATACAAATGCTGTTATTTTTATTGTGTAGGTGGTATCTTTAGGTCTTTCAACATACATTTAAATGCTGACTATGTCTGTGCCAGGTGTTAGGGATGATTAAAGACATTCTTAGCTCTCAAGGAATTTATAATTGAATAGTTTGCAATGATTATTAGATTGTATACAATCTGATACTGAACTTTACTTCCTTTTTGTAACATGCTTTACAAATACTCTCTTAGTCTACTACCTTACTTAGACTAGAGCCCATTTCTCCCCCAGAAACAGCCCAATCAAAAACCATAATATCTCCTTGGTATTTCAGAAGTGTGGGTGACAAAACAACTTCCAGAAAAGACCTTTCCCTTCTTGGAACTCAGAATTTTATTTATCCTTGATTTAGGCACTTACCATATATTACTTTTGTATTATTTATGTATTTGTTACATTGTGCTTGTTAAACTGTGAGGTCAGTGATGGAAAGGACTTAGTCATATACAAACTTTCCAGTGCTCTCGACACTGTAAGGAACAAAACGTTTGTTGAATTAATTTGAATGCCTAGGAGAAAAATAAATTACATATACATATATGTATGTGTGCATATATAGATGTATGCACACGAACAGACATACGTATGTGTGTGTAGATGTAATTTGCACAGAATCACTGTTCCACCATGCAGGTGTGTGTATGTGTGTATGTATATTTATATATACTAGTTATAAATACAGTTGTTATATAATATATATATATATATATATATATATATATATATATATATATATGCAGACAGAATCATGATTGCACCATGGGGATGTGTACATGTAATGTTTATAGGTGCTATCTGTGCCCCACCTATGGCAGAGGCTTCACAGTTTGTACTGGTCTGATCAGTCACAGTCCAACATACTGTCCCCAGTAGTCCTGTCATTTAGTCCATTCCTAATACAATCTATAGTTGCAATATGTATGTACATACATACACATACAATAGCTGTAAAAAAGTTTATGTGTTTGTGTGTGAATACACACCCAGCCAGCCAGCCATGGTAGAACAATGATTCTGTTTGTGTTTATACATGTATACACCCATCCACCTCCACAGTGAAACAATGATTCTCTATGTATATATACTATGTGTGTATATGCACCCTCTATATATTTCGCACATATATATTTTTATACATACACACATATCCACCTACTCCCATGGTGGAACAATGATGCTGTGTTACTCTGCGCAGACACACACACACACACACCATGTATATAAACACTATATATTTTGCACATATATATGTTATACACTACATGAGTATTTACACACACACCTGTCCATGGTGGAACAATGCTTTTGTCCAAAGTACTACTAAGATGGTCGTGGATTACATTGCTTCCAAGCATCAAAGGCCCGTTCTCCGCCCGACCAAGCCTCGGCATTGCGGGCCTCGCTAGCTGACCCGGAGGCCGTTTCCAGGGAGCCGCCAGCCAGCAGGTGACCCTGACTCACCCAGCCGAGGAATGTGCCCACTTACCGGGAGCCGGCGGCGCTGCCCGCCTCCCGCGCCTCCCCGAATCCCGATTCTGATACCCGAGGCCAATGCGGGCAGAGCCACCGCGCTCCGGACACGGATGCCCCCGGGGAGGGGGCCACCTCCAACGAAACCTCGCTCCCCGCCCCTTTCCCTCCAGATCTGGGTGTCCCCCAGCGCCCACGTGGGAGCTGGGGGCAGCCCTCGATCCCCTCCAGCTCGGGTCCCCTCCGCCCGGGGCCCTCCCGGGGAGGCATTCGCACCCGTCAACAGGCACAATTCAGCGGCGGGGGAGGGGCTGCGGGGTGGCGGGGCCAAGCTGAGCTCCGGGGCCTGACGAGGCTCGAAGAGCCGCGGTCGCCGCCCTCCTCCCGAAAGACACGTTTCCTCTGCTCCCACGCGTGGTCAGCCCAATCACGGACCTTGCCTCCCTGCCTCCCTCCCTTCCCCCGGGGAGTCCCGTGCGCGCCCCAGCCCACTTCCACAACCGCCACGCCCGGGAGCCGACGGCGGGCACGCGGGGCGGGCGGGGGAGGGGGCAGAGAGCCCAGCTCCGGACAGGAAAGTCCAGGGAGCCTCGCCCACCCTCCTTCCTCTCCCTTCCCCCTCCCTTCCCTTTCTCCCGGCCTACGGCAAGCGGCGAAGACCCTGTCCGGGGTGCGCAAAGGCGAAAAGGGACAGCAGCGGAGGGAGGAAAATCAGGGAGGGGAGGAATTGCGCGGTGAGGTCAGCGCCGCGGAGGGGACGGGAGGGGCAGGGCGAGGCGGGGCGGGGAGGAGGGGGGCGGCGGCCAGCCCCTGGATTGGTTGGCTAGCAGGCTGGCTGGGAGCTTGCGCCCCGATCCGGCCTGGCTCACGCACCCGGCTCGGGGTGGAGGGGAGGCGGGGAAGGAGGCGGGTAGCTCTGGGTGCTGAGGCGACTGGCGGGCGGGCGGGCAGACGGACGGGGACGAACCGACCGAATCTCCGGAACCCGCCGCCACCGGAGGCCGGGCGGGGTGCGCGTGCGTGGGAGAGACGGCGGCTGCGCGCGCTGAGGGCGCGGGGTTGGTTGTGTGAGTGCTTGTGTGTGAGGAGCGGCGGCGGCGGCGGCGGCGTCGCGGCTAAGGTGGGGAAGGGGCGGCCTGTGTGAGGGGCACCAGCCCATGGCCCCGAGGGGCCAGGGGCCCCAAACCCTTCGCCTCTCGGGAGGAGCCCCAGAAGATGTGGGCTTAGTGGAGAGCGGCCGCTGCCGCCCCCGCGCCGTTGCCTGCTCCGGGGCTCCTCACTGCCCAGTCCCTCGGTCGCCGGGGGGCTCGCTCTAACTCTGGGCCGTGGATAGTGGCGGCCTCCGCCTGGCCGGGGCTTGAAGGCGGCGGAGCCGAGGCCGCCCCGCGCGCGGTGTCCTGAGCGAGCGAGGGCGTGCGGGCATCATGTCGGCCAAGGTGCGGCTGAAGAAGCTGGAGCAGCTGCTCCTGGACGGGCCGTGGCGCAACGAGAGCTCGCTGAGCGTGGAGGCCCTGCTGGACGTGCTCATCTGCCTCTACACCGAGTGCAGCCAGTCGGCCCTGCGCAGGGACAAGTATGTGGCCGAGTTCCTCGAGTGGGGTAAGCGCGAGCCGCCCTCCCCTCCCTCCGCGCGCCGCGCCCTCCCCACCCTTCGTTGTGCTCCTGCCATCCTCTTCCTCCTCTGGACCTCCCTTCTCTGCCCCTCCTCCCCCTCCTCCTTTTCCTTCCTTCCTTCCATTCTCCCATCCATCCATCTTCCTTCCTTCCTTCCTTCCTTCCTTCCTTCCTTCCTTCCTTCCTTCCTTCCTTCCTTCCTTCTCCCTCTCAACCCCCTTTTCTCTAATGCTCCTTCTCCCCATCCCCTTTTTTTATCCCCCTCATCACATCCACTCCAAACCTCCTTCACCTTCACTCTTTTTTCCCCCTTCCCTCTTAGAGGGCTGCATCTCCTTGCTATACCCCTGACTGCGCTAATAGCACTCACTATACGGCTTCCTAGATCAGCCCCTTGGATATCATATCCTGCAGAGCTCCCTGGGATATCCGCTCCTCACCACCCCCACCCCTTTGGCTGCCGAACTTAACCCTTGGCCTCTTGTGCACTGCTCATGAGAGGAGTCATAAGCTGCTTTCGATGATGTGTAACAAACATTAAGTGACTGCGGGGATATGTGTTAAGTGGGGGAGAGGAATGTGTGGAAGGGAGGGGAAGATAGAAGGTAGACACGAAGTCTGCCTTTCTATTGTATTATTACTTATGGTGTTCTCCCCCCCCCCCATTTCCTATTACTTGGGGCCTAGCATCCGTCGCTCTGTCAAAGGCTAGGAATACTTCCATGACCACTGTTCACATGATTCTTCCATGCCAGGATATCTTTCCGATAGCAGCTCCAGGGGTGTTGCATTTTTATGTCCACTGATATCATTGCCAATTAAATATTTTCAATGTAACTGCAATGTGTTTGTGATGGTATTAACATTTTTATCTGGGGGTAGCCTGAAATCCAAACTATGTAGGATAATAGACTTTTTCTCCTTTACCTGTTGGTGGAGGCTCTTAGTGCCTTGTTCGGCCCTCAAAATGATGCTTGAATAAATATCTCTAAAGGATCCATTAGGAGAAAAGTCTAAACAAATTTAAAAAAAAACTTTTTCGAAAACAATTCTTGTTAAGTAGTAGATAGATCTTTGCAAATTAGGTAAGACTTTTAGTTAAACCCTTTTCTATGTAAAAGGCAACATGGCATAGTAGACATAGTACTGACCTGTAATCGAGGAGGGCCTGGGCTTGAGTCTGGCTTCTGATACTGCCTGTTGACCCTGCGAAAATCACCTCTCTGTTCTAGGCAAGTCGCGGAGAAGATAGTAACCTACATCGACAGAGGTAATTTCCTCATCTGGGAGTTCCCAATGCCAGTGAAATCAAACTCCATTCCTATCCCAGTAGATTACCTAGTGTTGTGGCATTAAGGCACTTTAGTGTTCTTCCATACAAAGGAAAAATATCCCAAACCATGGAATTACAGATCTAGAATGCACCTATTTAAAATTCCACATTCTTCACATCTGTACTGTATGGGAATCTCATAGGTTCCCAATACTTTTCTTCTTATTTCAGATATAACTGACTAGGTTCTGCCAAGTATGTATAATGATTGGAACTCACTAAATTTATTTATATAAAATATGATTTATTGTATTCTTAATTAGGGACTTATGCTACAGAGAAAAAAAACCAAACCCAATTTTGGGATGGCATTTTTGTTTTAAACGTTGGGTTATTTGAGAAAATTTTTCTTAGTAAAATGTTAAGGTCACATGGAATTGACAAGAGAATGATGCACTAAGAAAGTTGCTGGTTCTGTTTAATTTCTGTGGTTGCCACCATTCGTTGTTACATACAGTATTAAATTGGTTTCATTTCCTTTGATCCCTTTTTCAGGGTCAATAGTACAGTGTCCAACTGAATAATTAACCAATGTTACATCTGCTTTTGAAAGGGACTATTTGAGTTTTTATACTTATTTTATTTATTTTCTAAATGCTGTGGCTTCCATTCCTTTATAAACTACTTGATTTTGAAAGATCAGGACAAGATTACGAGTTAGGGTATATGACAGTAAATTATCAGTTGTTGGATGATATAGAATTGATGTATTAGCTTTAGTAGAATGTGCAACCTGATAACTGTGTGGTAGTCATTCTTAAGACTGGGCAGCATCCATATTGGTATTCATTGTGCAGCTGAACTGACAACTAATTTAGAGTTCCAGTTCCCTGTAGCCCATTTGTAGCTCTAGTAACTGTAAATTGTAAGTGGACTTGAAAAACAGGAAAACAAAACTGTTAAGTGTGTGATACTAAAATTGGTAAATTTTAACTCTTAAGTTACAATGGTGTAATCATTATACATGATAATAGAGGTCTTCATGTAATTGTGTAACTTTGTATAAGTTATCATTAGGGACAAAGTATAGTTAAAACATTTTGGATATATGTGGCATCTTTATTCCAAATAACTTAACACTTTTCCAAAATTGGAAAGGGATATAGATAAAATTTTAGTCTTTGTTACCACATTTGTTCTATACTAAAATCTTGTAGTTATAAATGCATATTTCTTCAATAGATCTATGACCTCATTGATGTGGTTACTTCCTCCAAGTGCTTATTGTAACCCTATATAAGCCTTCTTTTCCTTGACTTCCCATAAATCTTCCATAATGGTTTCACCCAGTGCATTGGAGGCCTTTGTTTTAATCCATTTAACATTTTGTAGGTACCTACTGCAGCAGTAATGTCCATCTAACTTCAGTCAGTCATTTGATAAGCCTCTATTAAGCATTACAGATGCTAGGTACTCTTAGGTGCTGGGAATATAAAAACAAGAATGAAGCCATCACATTCCTTAAAGATCTTTCATTTTATGGAAGGAGAGAGAAGTATACAGTACGCATAAGCACATCAGAGAAGGTCCTGTCTGAGCTGAACTTTGAAGAAAAGTAGGAATTCAAAAGGTGAAAATAAAGAGGGTGAAAAGTGTATATGAAGAGGTTTAAATGTGAAGCAGAAGTGTTGGTAGTTGATCCCAGAATAGAAAGTTATTGGAGTTTTTGAACGAGGGGAATGCCATGATCAGACCTGAGTTTTAGGGAAATCACTTTGGTAGATTGGAGAGATAAGGGACCTAAAGGCAGGGAGACCAATTAGGTCTTTGCAGTAGTAGACCAAGTGAGACTTGATGAAGACCTTAAAATCAAGTAGTGTCTGTGTGAGTGGAGAAAAGTAGATAAATGCTAGAGTCTAGTAGCTAGGTATATTATGGAGGATATAGTTGATAAGACATCAATTAATTGGCTGTGTAGAGTAAAAGAGGGTGAGAGGATGGCGGGAAAGATGCTAGTGCCTCAACAGGAATAGGGAAATTCAGAAGAGGGCTGGGTTTTCAGAGAAGGATGATGGTTTTTATTTTGAACATGTTGAGTTTGAGGTGCCTGAGGTATCACCATTTTGAAATGACCAATAGACAGTTAATGAATATCCATTGACACTTGTTTAGAAGTCATAGTTGGTAATATGCTGTAGCCTCCTTGTGACCATCATGCATCTGTTCATAGCTCTTTGTCACCCACAATATTTTTTGGAGATTATGATGTTCCATTATTTGTAGACACATAGTATTCCTCTGAGAATATTGGTGTTTAAAAAAAAGTTAAGACTTTTTGTGTCAGGAATTAGCTACTCCCTTACACATGTATCATCTAAATTCCACATGGATTATTGAACCATGTGTGTTCAGTCATCTGATTATTAGTGTCATTTTCAGATAGAATTTTGTTTTTATTTGGGAAGCATTTTGGGGAATTTCTAGCTTTTCAGTGAAATTCCTTTCACTTAGAGAAAGGGAGAGTACTTTCTTAAGTTTCATCTGGTTACAGTTTTAACTGCAGTGATAGCACTATTTGTACTTACTACAGTAAGGAGAGTTAGTATAATAACATTTCATTATGATTTTAATGTTATGTACAGATATTTTTATATATGCTTGTCCTGAATTAGTATGGTAAGGTGTTGCTAGTAAATTTGGACCATATTTTGGATTATGTGTTTCAAAACTATTCTAGACATGTAGATCTACCCTGTGGAGAAGGTTTATTAGCAAAAGGAAGCTAACTAAAGTATCTAGGATAAACTAAGAAATCTAGTTGTAATTGTCATCATAATTCACGCTTACAGAGTGCTTTAAAGCTTATTAAAATGCCTCTTTCATTATAATCATAAGCTTTAGATAGTACAAGTATTTCCCATCCCATTTTACAAATCAAGAAAATGAGGCTTAGAGTTTATGACTTGCCCTACTGAGCAACACAAGTGAAAAATGTGATTTGAAATAATATTTACTGACTCCAAAGTCAGAATCCTGGAAGTTATTGAATCAAACTTCCTTCGAAATTAACATACAAATTCAGCCTAGATTTTTCTGAGAAATTGCTTTTTTAGGAAATTTGAAAGTAGACAAAAGAAGTTTAAATCATGAAAGAGAAGGATATTTTTGACTGTTCTAATTGTCCTGGAGGTTGTATTGGAAGGACAATAGTTTCCTTATTTGTCTTTAATTTTTTCTTCAAAATGTAATTCAATTAATTTTCTTTATTGAAAGAATGAAAATATCTTCAAATAAAAATTCTGTCTTTTGTAAATTTCTTTTAAATTATTTTTATAAAATTCGCAATTTAAAAAGCAAGCCCTATACCACAAAATTTCAGAGTTGGGAGACCATATAGTCTAAGACTGTTAGCCGTTTTTGTTCTGTGAGATCCAGAGTTCATTCTCGTTAGCACAGAAAACAGATGCAAATCTATCTTTCATTCTTCTCTTTGTAGCATATATAACAGCCCCATCCAACTAAGCATGGGTCCCATTTTAAATCTTCTTTTCTTCAGTATAACTTTAAAAAAGAAAAGAAATTTTTTGTTGTCTGAAGCTTTCCTTTGTAGCCTCATCTCTTGATCTTCAGTGCTTCTGACTTTGGTCATCCAACATTACCTGCCACCATTGCTTCCATCTTTACTTTTTTTCTTTTTAAAGAAATTTTTATT